TGACAATATATACCATAATCTTCCTCAAAAAAAAAAAAAAAGGATCTCAGATTACAATGGGATGGTCAATTGACTAAGGATACAAAATGTCAATCCTGTAAAGAAACACTAGCACAACCCTTAGTTTGAAACAGCTTCTACTGTGAAATGGACCAACAGAAATTTAAAATAAGTAAACACTTCAGTACTACCCAAGACCTCAATCTAACTTTAGGAGACATGGAAATCATACCCAGATTCTACCAAACATTCTCACAAGGATGTCCTCCAGTCCTCTCAATTTCATGTTTTAAAATATCTATATCAAGGAATGACCCTATTCATTACTCATTTACACAACTTCTTGAACTCAGTTACCTACCCATACCTATCTTATAACCATTCCCTAATGATTTTAAGCCAAAATTTTCATTGCCCTAGTTTTGTCCTTCAACTGTAAATCCTAAAACAGTTACATTAACCTCCCTCAACTCACTGAACTCTTTGTGTGTTCTCATGGCTATACCCTTCTTTTAAAACCTTTCAATAAAGATTTTTTTTTACTTCTAGCACAGCACATCAGGTCTCTGCTTACTTCTCTAGCCTCAAACCAAGACACCAGTATGATTTCTTAGCCTAGAGTTAGTATCCTTCTTCCTTCTCTGTATATTCACTCCTCATCATATTTAAAGATTTACTCTTCCCACTTTGAATAAACTGTTCTATATTCCCAAACTATATATACCTTTAAATCACACCACAAATGATTTCCTAAACAAATGCCAGGTCAGGAATACAAAAGTGAAAATGGTCCCTGACTTTAAAAAAAACGTACAGAAAAAGCAAATCGTCAACTGTCACAAAGAATAACAATTTTCTAATAAGAGTGCTTGTTGGAATACTTAGGCTTAATTAGCATGCAAACTTAAGCATAGAGTACAAATCACACTAGCGATTTGTCACTTTATTCATTTAATCGTCTAATAAATAACTTTATGGTTCCACACTTTATGGTTCCACTTTACAGAGGAGGAAACAACAAATCTACAGATATTTACAAATCAGATCACTACTTACCTAGAGCAATAGGGGAAATAACAAAGGGTTACAGAAATGTTCTGTATCATTATGGGAATACAAGTGACATGCTGTTTATATTTGTCAAAATTAACTGAACTAAATTAAATCCTGTCCATTTTACTGAATATAAGATATACCTAAATATAATTATTTAACTTGGAAGGTACCTAGAAACAGATTTCTGGGTCCCTCCCCACCCAGAAACTGAATGTAGTGTCAATCAACTATTTTGCACTTGTTAACAAGAGGAAGAATTATGGACTAAATCGTTAAGAAAAACTTTTTCATCTCCTGAAATTCTTCAATAGCCCCTAACATGTAGTGCAGTGGTTATCAATCTGGGTCAATTCTGCCCCACAATGACATATGGCACTGTCCGCAGACATTTTTTGTTGTTGTTGTTAGCACAACTTGGGAGAGAAATGCTGCTGGTAGAAGACAGGGATTCTGGAAAACATCTTTTCTAACTGAAAAAAGTGCTGAGACTTAAAAACCTTCATTCACATGGCGCCTCACCTCTCAAACAAAATAACAGAATTAACAAGTTACATCTTTGGGAGATTTGTTTTTAACTTCCAGATTGTAGAGAGAGAAGGGGTGATCATATTTATATTGTTTATAATACAAACAATATTAATAAAACACATGTCATGTGAAAACCTTATTTAAAAAATAATGTTGTTGGCCGGCCCTCCCTGGTGGCACAACGGGTTAAAGCACAGCACTGAGAAGCTAAAGCCACTTCCGCATGAGTTCGATTCCTGCCTGCCCCGGAGGCGACTACATGGCGGGCAGACCTCTCCAGACCCTCCCGCTGCTCCCCTCAGCAGTGTACTTTGTCGATCTGCCTGTTCTGCTCCCCACTCTGTCTCTGGTGAAGCCTCTCACCGCCCCTGAGCCTCTGGCCTGTACCCCAGTTCTGTATGTACAAATAAATAAATCTTTAAAAAAAATAAAATAAAATAAATAATGTTGGCAGGATATTTACTCTCCTCTACCTTCGAAGTAGTTTTGAAGTTAAGAAACACTTGCAACTATAAAGTACATAAACTTTTGGCAAGACCTCATATTTAGCTACGTTCACTAAAATCTGTGTAGAGTAGCAGTGTCAAACCCACTGCTATTTAAAGTGTAGCCTGTGGAAAGGGGAATGGGACAGAAGTGAGGTAGAAAGAGTGCCCTGGACTATGGTGATGGCACATGGGTGAACTGGTGGTGGGAAGCCCAAGGGGGATTACAACTGAAATGAAAAAATGTAAAAAAAAAAAAGAGTGATGTAAAAAAAGTTAAAAATAGGGCTCTCCCAGGTGATGCAAAGGGTTAAAGCACCGAATTAGGAAGCTCTCCTACAGCCACTACAGCACAACAAGTTTGATGACTGGCTAGGGAGATGACCCACATGGTGTGGCAGACCTCTCCTGACCCTCCTGCTGCTTCCCTCAGCAGTGCATTTCAGTAGATCTGCCTGTTCTGCTCTCCACTCTGTCTCTGGTGATTCCTGTCAACCACCACACCTCTGGTCTGTACCCCAGTTCTGTAAGCATAAATAAATCTTTACAAAGTAAAAAACATATATTTAAAAAAAATAAAAAGCTTCTTAGGACTCCAAAATAAATAAATAAATAAAAATAAAATGTAGTCTATGGGCCAGTGAGCCAATCTAAATTATTTACCAATTTTTATCAGAGAAGTATAGAAATTAAGAACACAGAAATGGAAGCTTTCATAGTAGTGTAATTTCATATTTATTGGACCTATTAAATTAGGGCTTTTGTATTGCTTTTTTATTTCCTCTTCATTTTTCTTTAATTTTGCATTTACAAAACACTTAGCAATTTACAATATCATCACTCAACATTGCATTAGAGTAAAAATTTTAAAAAGGTCCTTCATTAATTAAAGAAGCAAAAACTTAACCTATCTATACTGACACATCTAGTAAGTGACAAAGTAAGAATTTGAGCACATGTTTAACACCAAAGCTCATATTCTTATTTATTATAACACTGTTGTTATTAAGACTTTGAACTCAGACCCCTATGTGTAAATCTCTATCTCTGGAATGATTAATGACACCAGGTACAAACCACAATGACTTTTTGTGTGTCTGGCCTATGTCCTTCAACACTGAAAGCAAGCCAAACTGCCTCCTTGTCCTTTTGTCCCCTTTTCACCAGGTTCACACTCAAACTTAACTTTCTTAATCTCTGATGATGAAAAAGGCCAAGATCAAAAAAAAAAAAAAATCTTAAAGTGTAGGGTAGAATCAATGGTACTACCTTCTTTTGAAGGTTTCTACCTGACTTTAAATGACCTCCCCTCAAACAGGAACAGGTCTCTAAGCTTGCTAACCACACTAGCTAGGAAGTACAGAATACATGAATTCAAAATAAGAAAAAAGTCACCCTTTCCTTACACCAAGACCTCCAAATTCTACCATAAGATTTAAAGATTTGGCCCTGATGAAGTCTTATCTTAGTCATACCTTGAATATCCTCTAAGTATTTTTAGAAAAAAAATTGGGGGAAGAGGGTCCTCCCTGGTGGTGCACTGGGTTAAGGGCAGCACTATACAGCTAGCCACAGTTGCTTTAGTTGGAGTTCCGGCCCCCTGGCCAGGGAGCTGACCCACATGGCACAGCAGACCTCTTCTGACCTGCTAACTGCTCCCCTCAGCAGTGTATTCAGTCCATCTGCCTGTTTTGCTCCCCACTCTGTCTCTGATGAATCTCCTCATTGCCCCTTTACCTCTGGCCTGTACCCTAGTTCTGTATGCATAAATAAATAAATCGTAATGAAAAAAGAAATGTTTTTGCAAATCCTTAATGAAAAGTAAATGTTAGATCCCAATCAAGCACACAATACTTAAAAATAAAAATTCCCTCCCCCCCAAATTCATACTAAGTATAACATGCTATTTTCTATTTCTTGCCTACTTAAAAAAAAAAACTATTAATAGAAATCACAAAATTGATTTAAAATCAACCTGCAATCAGCAAAACCTGACGATAGACAACCGTCTACATTTAACAATATGCTCTCATATGACAAGTCCAACTCATAATCATGCTACCTTAAAATCCACTCTTCAAACACTCTCTTCTTCATCAGTTTTCATTGTACAATAAATCTTATGTCATCTACAGTCAAACAGTAAGGGGAAAAAAGCATACTAAAAACTGTTTTGTCTCAAAGCTGATAAAATGCATCAATGCTCAAGCTAAATTTTCAAATGCTAATAAAAAAACTGAAGATAGTTTATTTGTACAAAATGTGAAAATGTGGTTTTCAACTGGTAACCTTGTCAGGGAATAAAACTATTTGCAAACCCCAGAATACAAGTCCATAGTGAGTATGTATACCATCAAATTTTAAATAGTTTGAAGTAAACCTGCTCTACCACTATGTTCACTCTGACTGATCTCATTATCATACCACACCCCATTATCAAAACCTAAGAAACCACAGTTTTATCTTAGGGAGTGTGTATGTATGTGCTGTCATTGCTCTAAGGTCAGTCAGAAGTTCTACTCTGTCTCATTAGCTCAGAATGGACTTACTGAGGGTAACTGCTACAGGAAAATGCACAAATCCAAACAAACAATTTTATAACAAACTTCTGAAACATAACTCATTTCCTGTAGTTGGTTACCAAATACCTTGTCCACAAATCCAAATACCCTGTCCAGAAACCAAAATGTTTAACTAAATTAGAAAATTTATGTATCATTTCCGTAAATTAAAATCTACTTAAACACAAAATAAATTTCTGTTATGAAGTTCAATCATATAAACCTAAGAATATGGTGTTTTTGTCGAAGAGATATACTGGTTCCACAGTATTATTCCATCGGAATGACAAAATGCTACCATATAACTAGCTATGTAGTTCCCACATTTATTTCATAGTCCCTTCCACTACCCTACCTCCACCCACTGAACAGCTGGGTGGGATGAAAGACAGTTTCCTGCCTCCGCCCCTTCCCTTTGCTATTTGGAGAAATGAGGGATCCAAGCACCACTAAAGCACTTCAATCTATGAGGATTCTATAAATTTTACCTGTACCTTAAAACCTAATTATAAACATGGAAGGGATAGAGGAGGGCTGACAATTCTCATCACCAGAATGTGCAAATACAAATATGTTAAAAAAAAAAATTCAGTCACTGTGATTCTCAAGGCAGTCAGGAACATATTCTCCCATTTCGTCAAAATAACAAAACCGAAAGAAATTCTTAAAGCTGAACAATAGCAATAAACTTGCAAGAATTATTTTAGTAACAAAGCAAACACCTGGACATCACAAATTCTTTCCCTACACTACAAAAGCCCAGATTTGAAACAGTGTAACTTAGCAAATGGAAAAGTGTTAGAAAAAATATCAGTTACTTATTTGCCAACTATCCACACAGTATGAAATGGAATAAGGAGTGGAAAATGTGAATGAAATGACCTTGCTCCTTTTCCAATACGTAGGGGAGGAAAGGAAATGAAAGGCTTTCTTAAGAGAATACTGATAAATTTCCAAAAATTAATTTCCTTAAACTTCACCAGTCCGTATCTCCAACTCCCTCCCTTTACCAGCGACCATTCCACTCTTTCCACTCCTCTGGAGGGCGCCCTTCCCAGACTTCTCTTTCCCGTTTTTCCTAAATTTAAGCCCAAAGCAGACTCCTGAGCCTCTACTCTTCAGCCTCGCCCGCCATCCACCGGCCTTCCGGGCCTCGCCTGGGGAAAGGAAGCCCGGGGAGGCCAGGGGAGGGGAACCTGAGGGCGACGCCGGGGCTGGAGTGGCAGCCTCCGCCGCCTCCACTGCAGCCTGAGCCAGTGCATCCTTCTTCGCCCGTGGACGCTGCCGCCCTCCCGGGGCGGCCCACACAGCACCCTCCCCCGAGCGCGCACACATCCCCACCATCGCCGCCAGGCCCACTCCCCCAGGGGGTGGGCTCCGCCGCGGGTGCTGCCACCCGCGGGCCCCGCCACCCGCGGGCCCCGAGCAGGATGCGGGAAGACCGGAGGACCGGGGGAGACGGGGCCGGGCAAAGTCGACCCTGCTCGTGCGGCTCCAGTCCGGCAGCAGAGGCCGAGACTCACGTCTCCCCGCTCCCCAGGCCCGCCCGCCGCGGCACAGGAAATACCGCCGCCTCGGCTCTGCTCACATTCAATTCAAACTGTCACCGCCGCCGCCTCCCCTCCCCCCCAAGTCCGTCGCCGCCGCGCCCCGGGCCCGCCTTGGCCCCCACCCGCGTCCCCACGCCGCTGCCCCCGTCTTGCCTCAGGGCGTTCCCCTAGCCCCGTCCGGCGGTTGCAGAGCACCTCTGCGTCCGGGGCCGCCGACCCAAGCCGCGGCGACCCAAAGCTGAGACTCACCCATGGTGCTGCTGTTGACGCTCCTCTCCTCAGCAGCAGCGGATCTCGCACTGACCGACATCCCCTCCCCCCTCCGCGACCAGACGGGGAGCAGCGCAGCCCGCCGATTCTCCAAAGCCGCCTACGCCGATTCCGCAGCGTAGCCGCCTGGCGTCGCAGCCCCGCTTACGCAGGCGACTGCAGGCGCACTCCTCCACTGGCTCCCACCGAACTCCCGCTCCCTCCCTCATCCCCCGCCTCCTCTGACGAGGATTCCGTGCCCTGCGAGGGCTGGTTTAATCTCGCGAGATTACCCTCACCCTGCCCTCCGCCTAGCTCCATTTGGAACATGACTTCATTGGCGTCAGCGCTCTTTTACTGCTCGGGTTTAGCCGCCATGTTTGAATTGACGGGATTTAACATCTCCGGGGTCATGAATAGCCAGGCCTTTTTACGTGTTTCTTCAACACTGCATCTAAGGTCAACTCTTTTAAGTTTATCGCTTAAAGCCTGGGACGCAGAGAGGGAGCTGCCGATGGAGGCTGAGGGTGGGGCTTTGCCCGAATTAAGTATGGCCGCCGTCAGTGCCGCCCCGCGCTACTTCACGTCAGGTTTTGCAGTTTGGGTGCCGCGGGTTTGGCTTTAGCGCCTCTTTACGTAATTGGCGTAAGGCTAAGAGGCGCCTCTGGAAGAGCCGGACTGGGAACTTCTCTCTGGGCGGGGACCGCGTTTACGCCTAGGCTCCTCGCTCCTGACCTGGTGGCTTTGTGAGTGAAAGTGGAGACAGATCGAGGCAGGTGTCCATGACCCCATCCGCCCCGTTTCGTCAGCTTTCTTGACTCGGGCTGGATGTGAGATTAGGACCTGGATGCTCTAATCTATTTGTCTGGCGCTGTCACTTTCTGGTGGCTTGGCACACCGAAGAGGGAAGCTGCTGCAGCTTCCACTGCGGGCTTTCCACGGCGACTATGTTGGCTCACCTAGTTGGTGCCAGTGTAATTTCTCGTGGAGTTCACACCCTAATTGAGAAAATGAATAAACGCACGTAAAACTATTGGGTAACAGTTAAAGAGTAATTACGGCTAAAATGCGGGTGTTCTCTTACTGAAACAGTGTTTGTCGCGCGCTGGATCTTTGGAGTCTTTCCTAGTGCTTCCCTGGTGAAAGCAACCTCATTTTGCTTAGAAGAACCCTTAGTCTTTTGTACCTTTCTTGAGTATAGATTGCCCTCTTCCTTGTATCATTAAAGCACACGTGCTTTCATTCCTGTTAATCTGCATGTTGAGGAATATACATAAAATTCCCATAAGCCTGCGTAAGAATGTTTATACCAGTGTTGCTTATATTAGTGAAATAAATGTCCATTTACAGAATGAATGAATGAATTACGTTATTCTACAAAATGGCACAGTACAGATATTAAGCAATGGAAATTAATGAACTAAAGCGACTAGTGTTGATTTTGAGTTAATTGACAATATTGAAAGAAAAAGCAAGTTGCAGAGGGATGTATGTAGTATACCATAAATTAAAAGTTTAAAAAAGCGGGGGAGGGAAATGCACTGGACTGTGATGATGGCACATGCTTGATTTGGTGATGGAAGCCCAAGGGGATTGCAAATGAGATGGGAAAATGCACAAAATGATGTAAAAATAAACTAATATATATAAAAATTTAAAAAGTGCTAGCAAAGTGTAAAGTTCATGTAAGGGAGTAATAGATATAAATTCCCAGTATTGGTTACTTCCAAAAAGGAATATGTATTAGAAAGGGTTCACTTGTACCTGTAATGTTTTGTTTTCTACCAAAATTAGAAAGCAAAAAATGTGACAAAATCTTAAGCTAGATGGAGGTTACATGGATGTAAAATTATTGTTTTGATTTTTGTTTCCTATGTCTTCCTTAATGCAGAACTGCTTATAAAGTCTGTCAGCTCAGTCATCTGCCCATCTAACCATTTGGTTAAAATTTTGAAACTCCAAACGAACATTTCACTTGGGGAAATTTCATTAAACGTCTACTTTGAAAAATAAAGGGTAGTAGGGAGTTTAAATGTGTAGCATCCGGAAACAGACTGCCTGGGTTCAAGTCCCAGCTTTTCCATTTCTTAGCCATATATACAAGGACAGGATAAGTTACTTGACTTTTGTGATCCACATTGCTCACCTATGAATGGTAGTAAAATTTATCTAATGATGTTCTTGTGAAATTGGATTGTGCGAGTCCATAATAAATGCTTAATAATTGTTACCTGCATATGTTACCTTAAAATAATAAATTGTCCCCAATATTATCAATGTTTAATATAATCTAATAGTCTATGATCTCTATTGATACTAATTCTTTGAAAGAGATTTCTTTTTTTTTTAAAGATTTATTTATTTATGCTTATAGAACTAGGGTACAAGCCAGAAGTGTGGTGGGTAAGAGGATTCACCAGAGACAGAGTTGGGAGCAGAACTGGCAGATCGACTGAAATACACTGCTGAGGGGAGCAGCAGGCTGGTCAGGAGAGGTCTGCCACGCCATGTGGGGTCAGCTCCCAGTTGGGCTTTAAACTGGTGCTGCAGCTGCTTTGGAGAGCTTCATAATGCGGTGCTTTAACCTGTTGCACCACCAGGGAGAGCCCTGAAGGGGATTTCTTAATGAGTAGAGTTGAATATGAATTATTAGTGAATAGAGGATATGAAGAGGTGGATTTTGTTTTCCACTTGGAAAAATGTATAAATTCATAATACAGCCTTATTAAGTTATTTGAGAGTTGTTCATGCTGTCCTTACAAACTCTGCGACACATAATTATAGCTTCACTTTTTTTCATTGAAAATTCTATGGAGGGGTACAGGCAAAGAAATGTTGCTATCCTATGGAACTTCCTCCAGAGGAGGTTTAATAGTCAAACATATCTGAGCATGCATGCACACATTTTGGAATAGAGAGAGTGAATTATTGTGTTACCTTTATGATCTCTACTGTGCTGTTTGCTATATGACAGTTGTTAGTAAAATAGGACCTAGACCTCAGCCTTCTGATTCAGAAACAGAATTTTTAAAAACTAATCTGAAATTCTGGATTGGCCATGTAAATTGTTTCCTCTATATATTTACAATGTCTAACTTCAAGTGGGTCTTCAACTTTGTTAAACAATACTTGTTTTCCTGGATAGTCTTCTTTCCATTTGCCACAAGAGCCACTTCAGATTTGCCCCACTGTTTTCAAACCACTTAATCTCAGCAAAAACTGGAGCCCATAGGAGAGGAACTCCAAGAACTTGCCTCCACACTTATAAACCTATCTGCATCTACATCGTTCCTTTCAAACATCAAAATATCCCTCCCCCATCTGAGGCACATGTGTCTACATATTCTCTTTGTGCCATTTCTTTGTACCTGGAGTCTTTCTCCTGCCTTCCCAGGAACTACATACAATAAGTTATTTATTCCAAAATTTCTGGGTTCTATCACTACCACTGGGCTGAATTCTGCACAAAGTCACTAGTAGCCTCTTTATTTTAATCCAGGAGACACTTGTTCTCATTTGACCTTTCTCCTGTATTGGGTACTAGCCACTGTGACCTTTGTGTTTATGTCCCTTGATCAAGAAACTTCACTTTCCTGGTTTACCTCCTAGGCTTCTTTATTCCAGCTTCTGCCAGTCACTTATATGTCCATATATCCCAGAGTTGCATCCTACATTTTATTCCCATCCCACTTTTTATTCTCTCCTTTAGTGATTTAATTCACTTCCATGACTTCACTTACTATATATATATATAGTGTATATATATATATATATATGGTATACATGAATCTGAAAAACTTGAGAAGTCCTCAAGTATTAGTCTGTTTCATCAAGACGAACCAGAATAGCTATATATATATATATATATATATATATGGTATACATGTATATACATGTATATGACTCCTATATATAAATTTCTATTTCATTTCTCTTTCCTCACTATAAATCTGTATACCTGGCTGCCTTCAAAATATGTCCTGATGTCCCAAGATGCTCAAAATAATATATCCCAAATTAAATTCATTTTCATTGTACTTGCTTTTATATTGCCAGCCTCTAAATAGTTATCATCATCAACCCAGTTGCCTAAACCAGAATTATGGTTATTTTCTTGACAGCCATCAAAAACTCCTCTCATCACACAATCATCAAGAATTGTCAGTTTTGTTTTTCATCTATCGCAAATCTCCATTTCTTTCCATCTCTACTACTACTATTTCTAGTTAGGTAAATATTATCTCTTGTTTCCTTTCTTTTCAATAAGCTTTATATCTGGTACCTATTCTACTCCAACTCATTTTTCAATTATACCCCTTTCTAGATTTTGACTATGTCAGTTCCCTATTTAAAGTCTTCTAACTTTTCAAGAAACTTAGCATGACAGTTCTTCATTTCCTGTTAATATGTGATAACTTGTTCTGTCTAAACTCTAACAGCCTTGTTGTCCTCTCTATCTAAAACACTTCCACTTACTTGTTACATTTTGCATTCCTTACCTTGCTTTCTCTTTTAATTCTCAGATTAGCCATAATTTTCTCTAAAAATTTGTTGATCTCCCCAGAGTGAGCGAGGTGTCCTCTTCCATAGTATCTTGTATTTACTTCAATATGGTTCTACTAGAACAGGTTTGTTCTTGAGATTTGTTCATGCTGACCTTATAAATTCCACCCCACACAATAATAGCTTTACTCCTCTCCATTGAAAATTACATAGAGAATTAAAGGTTATAAGATCATAATACCCTATGCAACTTTCTCCACGAAAACGTTTAACAGCCCATGTTATAAACACACACACATACACACACACACACACACACAGGTATCATAGTCATTGATGGTACTATAGCAAATACTCCTCTTTTCTATTAGAGTATAAACTCTCTAAGGGAAGAGACTCTTGTCTTACCTTTGTATCTCCAGCACCTAGCACAGGATATGGTATTAATAACTTCAGCCAGCAAGTATTTCCTGACCATAACTAGGTAGTAGGCAAGTAGCTAATGGTTAATGTGTGATATGGGAAGTCTGTGACATTATAGATGGTACCCCTCGTAGAACAAGTCTGTCCTATTTTGTGCACTACCAAAATTTTTAGCACTCGTGGTTATATTGGTAGTGGGGAGTGGAGTTTATGATTTCAGAAGTGTATTTTATGAAGATATTAGGCATTCTGCAAAATATGCCTGTTAATATCTAACATTAAAAGAAAAAAAGCCCTTGGGTGCTTTTTTTTTTATATAAGATTTATTTATTTGTGCATACAGAACTGGGGTACAGG